GGGGAATATGATCAATAAATGCACCAAACACAATATAGCTCTCAACTTTTTGCGTCAAATTGCAGTCAAATCAAAAGGGAAAGAAAGAGTGGTAATGCGATGTGATCAAAGCATTAACAATACAGCCACAACAACAAAAAAAGGGAAATATAACGAGGCAAATGGTTTTTACCGCATTTTTTTTTTGTTTCTTTGTTGCATTACTTACAAAGCAAATAGTGTTAAAAGTGCTTGCTGCGCTTAATTTCATTCCCTCAAACGCTAAATAAAAGCGAAAAAAAACTCACGAAATTGAAAAAAAAGGAACAAAAATGCAAAAAAAACTGCTGAAAAAAGTGAACGAAAAACTGAAATTAAAGACAAAATGACGAATAAAAAAAATGCAGAGTCAAAATGAAGGATTAAAAAGAAATAAAGAAAAAACAAACTTTCTCAATGAAAATAAAATTGTATCGTTTGCGTAAATGAATATCTAGTCAAATTGAATTCTTAGACGAAGTCAGAGAAAAAAAATTCATTTCAATTGCTTCCCAGCACACGAATAAGAGCCGTGTTAAATCTAGAGATTCAAACTCTAAGCCAAAACCAAACTAGAATTTATATCGAGACTGAATCATGTGAAACGAATTTTTTATTCGTTGATTTTCTGTTAAGTATTCTGTTTGAAGGCGCTTTTTCTTGGACTTTTGTATTCATCCTCTGTCCTTCTATCCATCTCCATCTCTCTTTCGCTTTATATTTCTATACATTCATTGTCATTCACCAGAAAACTAGCATTAGATAATCTTGAATAAAGAGAAAATGGTATTTGGCGAGAAAAGATGCTCTCGATCCGATTTGCGATAGAAAAAAAGATGAGACAGAAGTGCAAACGCAAATACGTGGAAAAACAGATGAAATATTGAGAATGGCCGTGCTAGCTATACTCTTATATCCGTACTGTTTACAATGCAAAGAATATGTTTGAAATAAAATGCCAACAGAATATTTAATGCGATGTATTGTCGTACACAAGAAACATATTCGAGTTGCTCTCTTTTTTCGATGATGTATGTCAATATGATATCAATTGGACGAGAACCAAACACATAATATAAGCGCTTTGGCTTTTGACAATTGAAAACGATAAAATCCAATTCAATAAAACTGTTTATTTCAATGTGAATTCCTGATCATACGCGTGCATCACAAATCGATCATTAGTTTAATTTTAAATTCAATTCAAAGCGGTCAAACGAATGCATCTCTGTTTTATTTGATGAATGAAAAAAGTGAAATGGCAATGAAAATTCTTGAACAATTCCCCATTTAATTAAATGCAAAGAGATTCTTTTCAAACACACACACAACGAATCAAATGCAAATTAGTCTTACAGCATCCCAGTCAGTATTTAACGGATGTGAAATAAATAGAGGTGAAACAAATGTGAAAGTGCAAAAAGCGAAAAAAAGTAATTCGTTGAATGTAAAAAGTTCAAGTGAAAAAAAGCGTCATCGAAAAGTAATCGCCTATCTGTCGGTTTTGGTTGCGCTGTTGAGACTCCAAAGATTTGTGTGGGTGTGATTGAGAATTGACACTTTTGCCAGCTTCCGTTTGTAAAGAGATAGGCTTGTGTAAGCGCGTGTCTAAATGTGTTGTCGTGTATCGATGAATATAGGAATTCCAATTCACTTCTTCAACATTGGATGTGACTCTTTTTCCCACTCTCTATCTGTATCTGTCGCTCTTGATTTAATGTGAAAAAATTATGTTGCTGCAGGTTTCACTTGGATTTAGGCGCCAAATATACACAAAAAAAAACTTTTTCAACCCATTTTCGCTTCTATCTCATGGTCATGTTTCATTTCTTCCTTTCGCAATTTGATTCTATTTGAGAACTACATATAAATATATAACGCTATCGCCTAAATAAACACATAAATTTTGCAATCAACGAGTTCTTTTAGCAATCAGTACACTACTTTGTGTCGACAAATGTTTTCAATCCATTTCCATGTGGAAAAATCAAAGATCCAACAATCAAAAAGCGTCGCCGAATGCCGTGTTGTACCGAAGAAGGCAAAGAAATGCAAACAAAAGAAAAAAGAAATGACTAAGCCAAAAAAAAGGGAAGATGAAGCAAAAACGTAAAGTTTATTGGTGTGCTTGCGAACAAGTGGTGGAATGACAGCAATGGCAAACACACTACTGATAGAAAATGAGAAAAAAAGAGTGAGTGAAAAACTAAGCATATATATACACACACACATGGGTTTAATGTTGAAAAAGAGGTAAGAAAGTGGTAAGGTGACAATAGCACAGCAGGGAATCGAAATGCGAAAACGATAAGCAAATAAAATGGTTCGCGTTTTACGGTGAAGAATATAGTGAGACCGTTTTAAACATCCGCAAATATGTAAATCGTACCCACCAGCAACGGCACATGGTGCGCATCGTAAAAAGGAACCAAAAAAAGAAGAAAGAAAAAAGTTGCGCGAAGTAATGTTTGATTTACGAGAGTTGTTAGTAGTTTTTTTTGCATTTTCGTTCTTCTCAGCCTTGCTTCTCAAACGCCACTTACTGAATACAAAGATCTGCTTCACATTTACGAATATTTAGTCACACTCGTGTGCGTTGTTTTTTCGTGTTGACGGTGAATACAGATTTTATCATGTGTAGCAACTCACAAAGAGTTGTATTTGACGAAACGGAAACCGAAGCTGCGGTTAAGATGATACCAGCACGCATAAGCATATTGTTTTTTTTTTTTTGTTTCTCTTTCTAATGTACATAGAAATGTCGCGAAGTTCACATATGAACTCGAAATTATTCGGCGTACAGAGAGATAGAGAGAAGAAAAAGAACGAATATACGCCACACTACTTTACGTGCTAATAGTTTATCTTTTGCAAAAGATGTATGTGCTGACAACAACCAAACCGCATAATTTTTTTTATCCATGACTTTCTTCCTTTGGTGTGTAGCAAACTTTGAAGCCAAACAATACTTAAACAAATAGAAAAATTGTAAAATCTCCAAGTTTTCCGCTTTTTCGTTTCGTAGTTTTTGAATGTTTATTTGCAAAACATGCTTCTTGATTTTTGCTCATTATTTATCCTCGGCTCAACGTTGCATGGCGCGCACACATACCACCGACTATCAACTGCTACTGCTGAAGTCACACATTTCATTAATTCATGTTGCCGTGTATGCAATACAAAACAAAAGATGCTTACTCAAAAGATGCCGTCTCATTCTCAAACACGATTTCACGAATTGCACCGCAGATTCGGAGCATGCAAATAAAATGCACACAAAAAAGTCTTGCACTTTTTTTTCTTCTCTCCTTTCCACTCTTAAATAGGTGTAAACATTAACCGCATCAAAAAAACTGACTGAACAACAAAAAATAATGTTTCGCTATCGTTTATTTTGAACATTTTTTATTTCTGCTGCTTCTGTAAAGCTTAGCGAAAAAATTGCAAACAATTCAACATCGCTTAACCCATTTATTTTATTAGATATTTCTTTTTGTGCTCGACCCCCAGATACCTCTTTTTTTTCTTCATCATACCGTGTACACGTTGTTCTCGTACACTGAATGTTATTCTGACGAAGGAATCTACACAACTAGAGCACCGTAACGAATGCGAATGAAATTGATGGAACGAACACGAAAATGAGAAGAGGAAGGAGATAGAAGAAGATGAGTGAAAGAAAGAAAGTAACTATTTGTTGTTGATATTTTGTTGTGGCATGGTGTTGTGAATTGTTATGCCAAAATACCGTTCTCTGACGTTGAATTATTTTATGCGGTTACATGTACAATGTATAACATGTGAAATGAAACTTTCAATTACCAGTGTGTGTGTGTGAGAGAGGGAGAGCTCTCTGTTTTTCGTTTGAAGTTTCAAAAATCATTATATGTAAAATTAAAATGATGCATACTACTTTGAAGAAAAATAAAGAAATATGAAAACTATTTTTCTGATTCAGCTTTGAAAAATTGCCAACCACAATCTATCGATCTTTGTAACATAAGTTTGTGAAGCCATCTTGGAGATAAAATAGCAAAGGTATGGGATATTTACTATCCTATTAAAACTAACACAACTATCTCCGATTTGATCTGGTTAGCACAGGGATACTATCTTATCTAGTATTGTAGAGAGTGCGTTGAAAATAAAGCATTTTGTTGATTTTTTCATGATTTCAACGGTTTCTTTTACAGACTTAATTTTAGTTTAGATATGACTTACCAAGTTGGTTAGAGGCAAGTTAATAGCAAATCAACTAATTTGACTTATTAAAGCCAATTATAACCGACGAATCATGTAATTTCAAATCTACACCACAATACCCGTACAGTTGCCATAAATCCAGGATAGAGTTCGGTAAAATAGAAGAAACAAAAGAAACGACATCGCCACAATCAAGATTTTTAACTACGTTAAGCCTTTTTTTTTTAAAGAATGGATTAAACAAGTTTTAACTGTGAATAATGGGAAAATAAATGAAAATGTGAGAAATACATGAATATAAAATGATGATAAATTGAAAAATGTCGTGCTTAAATGTTTGTCTACTACCCAAGGGTCATTTTATTTTTGTATTAGTTTCACATTTAAATTTTATCACAAAACCTGTGTTGTGCATAATTGTTTTTGTCAAATGAATACCTAAACTGTATTTATAAAAAAACACGTACGTCGGATATATAATGAGACACCAAACTGATCCAATGCCGCAAAGCATGTGTGCTGGCGTGCAAAACGTTTTTGGTTTTCTTGTAACAACGACATTCATTCTACTTTTAATTTTCCGCGTCATTTTAAGCAGCAGCAACATTGAGGGCTGAAAAAATTGCTGCATTATTTGCACGCTAAAGAAATTTTTGAAACTAGAAAAAAAGTAGATTGTAATTGTAGACAGCAGAAAGAAAGAATACAAAAAATAGAAATAATAAAAAAACTTGTTTTACTTTGTTTTTAATAATAGTGATTTTTCTGTTTCGTTGCAGGTGTTACAAATAAAGTGAGACAGGATCTTTGGAGAGAAGTTTTACGACAGCATAACACCGAGAAAAAAAAAAAGAAAACCATCGAAACAACAACAATAATATCCAATTGTAAAACGTTGGAAACCAGCAGAAGCACATCAAAATCAAAAGCACCGACCACATTGCCATTGCAAGGCAACAACATTATATGTTGTTTGCGAGCAGCTTTTTACCACATTCAAATAATAATCGTAAACCTGACCAAAACAAACCGAATCCAATAATACATACCTAGAGTTCGAGAGAGCGAGAGAGAGAGAGAGAGAGAGAGAGAGAGAGAGAGAGAGAAGGACCGAAAAAAGAAGATAGAACGAGTTGCGAACCTGATACAATAAAAAGGCGTCATTTATATCATTTGGTGTGACAAAAAGGGAAGCATACACTTTCATACACACACACCCAGCGATAAACCAAGGCCGCACATTATAGTTTTCGGTATTCAAACCAAAACTCTTGCTTCGCACATATCTCGTGCTCCAATTGTTGTCATTGCTACCACCACCATCACACATCATTGCCACATTTGAATGGTGTTGATGCGCATTTGAGTGAATGTGTTTTTTTTTATTCGTCGCAATCCGATCTCTCTGCTTTTCGCTTCGTTTTTCTATACACCGATATATAAATTTTTGGTTTTCTTACTTTAACTGTTTAACAATATAAATAATATCGGGACGACCAGCTTGCTGCGTGTACTATTGTTGTTGCTTGCACTTTCGACGGTTTACGTTTGTTTCCTTTTTTTTCTCTCGTTTAACCGTTCGCCCGAGAAAACAGTTGAATGCTGATATGCGATGATAAATCGCTCGAAAAACCGCAATTTTCGTGTGCCAAACCAACGACCATAAATATCATTTCGGATTACGGAAATAACGATGAAAACATACCGAAATTGAATACCACAAGCGTAACACAAGCATAACAACAACAACAACAACAAAAACTCTCACCGAATCAACTGCTGGATATGAAATAGACCGATGAGAAAACAAAGTCCTCGAGTTAAAGAGAGAATCATCACGAATAAAATTTAAAAAAAAAAACGAAACGAGAAAAGCCCAAACGACCAAAATATATTTAAAAAAACTCATACCCAACAACAACATTTATAAATAAGATAAAATAAAAAAAGCGACGCACTGCCTTTCCACCGGACAAACACACACACACCCACAATATATATACACACACAATAAAAGTATTTTATACATAAAATTCCTAGGTGAATAAAAAAAAACGTCAGCGTACACAGAAAACGGCCATAAAAATGTTATTGCGTAATGTGATTGCACGTAATTTGCTGGTGATCTGCATCATTTGCATACAGCGATCGGTGTTGGGGTTTTGTCCGGCAAAATGTGCATGCAACGGTGATCATAATTTGCGTGTATCTTGCAAAAATGCCAGCCTTGCTGATGTACCTATTCAACTGAATCCAGAAGCAAAATACATTAATTTAACGATTAACCAGATTACAAAATTGAATTATGCATTACAATTCTATACACAAGTTGAAGTATTGGATTTATCACGAAATCGAATCAACGAGCTTGGTTCAAAAAATTTCGAATTTTCAACTCAATTGCGAACGCTGAATTTAAGCCAAAATCAATTGGAACATTTGCATAAGGATGCATTTTTTGGTCTCAAAGGTTTGCTACTATTAGATTTAAGCCATAATAAAATATCGCGAGTACATCCAGCGGCCATGACCCATCTGATTAAAATGATCGACATGGATTTTTCAAATAATGCGATGATCAGTTTCGACGATGGTGTATTCAAGAATTTAACATCAATGGAACGTTTAACGCTCGAAGCAAATGAATTGGTCGATGTGCCAGTGGAAAATTTAGTGCATTTACGTAGTTTGAAATCGCTGGATTTGTCAGGGAATTTAATAGAATTTATAAGGAACGACAGTTTTGGCCAACTGAAAGAGTTGAATACACTGAAAATTGTTGGCAATGTCATCAATGATGTTGATGTTCGAGCTTTTGATGGTTTACCCAATCTGAGATATTTAGATTTAGGCGACAATAATCTAACGGTAAGTTCACATTTATTTTATTACTATATCAATAGCGTTTATAGGCAATTATTCAACTGTTTCGACAATATTTTTTTATTTTGTTTCGTTTGCAAAGTTTTCTACCATTACAATTTCCATATGTTTCGTATCGGATTTTTCTGTCTGAATACGGAAAACGTGTTGAATGTCATTTGAAAAAGTTTGTTTATTTGTTTGGTTGCAACATTTGGTTGGTGTTATCTGGGCTTTGATTAAAGAATTATACCGACTAATGTTTGAATGAGTTGGGAATGAAAGCAATACTTTCAATGGATTCCAATCAGTACATCGAAAGTTAATCAAGATAACACACATACACATAACCATAGAATTTGGAAAGCTCATTTGATATGCTACCACTGGTCGAAGTTGAATTGAGATACAAAGAAGAAGAAGGAGCTAATATATAATTCGTTTGGATTACTTTTTCATTGCTTTCGTACTTTTTGGTACCGTCTAGACGACCAGCGCTACACGATTAATATTTCGTCAATATTGTTCTACTTTTTGTTTTGTTTTTTCGGGATCGACTCAATGAAGTTCCTGACCAAAATCACGATGAATAAGAGAAAGAGAGAATGTGAAACCCTATAAATTCAAGGTTGAAATTGTATTTTTATTTTTACATCGTTTTTATTATTCGCTGTTCTTCTGTTCCTTTCTCACACTCAAAGTGCGATATGTGTTTGATTAGGCTACACTTATAAACACATCATTGTGCGTCCCAACAACACCGAACTTTTATTTACCCATTATTAGTTCATTTTCGAGTTTCGATTTAATGACTTACCCGTTCATTTGGCAGAGTGTGTGTGTGCACATGGTGCACCATGGGCGCTACAGCTTATAATAACGTTGATGAGAAAAAATTATACCAAATTATTTGTAAAGCAATGAATTTTTAATAAACGCACACGAGCGTATGAACGCGAACCATGGATTCGTTATCTATTCGTTCTATGGCATATGAGCGCATTGGGTATACATTACCGATTGCTATTCTATGACGGAAAAATGCTGATTGAATGTGTACGCGCGTGTGACAAAGTTCAAAAAATCATTTATAATATCAAGTTCAATAATGCCCAAAACCATAAAACTTTTTATTTACCAGCAATAATGACATGCTTCACTTGCGTTTTTTTTTCTCTTCATCTTTTTTCCCCTTTTCATTGCGCTATTTTTGCTCTCTTGCCATTTGGTTTCATCGCAAGCGCGCGTACTTCTGCTCTGCTTTCATATTTTGTTGTTGGCCCGGATTTTTTCTGCTTCATATTTCGGAGAATGCCAATGATGACAATGTTGAAAATTGGATGAAGCAGAAAGAGAGAGAGCAAGGGTGAGTAAGAGAAAAAGTTCAACCGGCAAAGATTCGTGACAAAAATACGCATAATAAAATATGAAATGTGTCGACTGATGTCGTACTTAATTTATGTATAACATACACACAATAAATCTACTAGTCGCTTGGCGCTCTTTTGCTCACTCTACGTGTGTATGAGTTGTGTATTTGTATACGAAGCGATTACGTATACGAGTTTAATTCAAGATTACACTACGACTTTTTGTCAGAATGACGAACTGCCACAAGAAAATGCGACACACAAGCACAGCGTTTGTACATTTCGTGTACGATATAATGTTTTCTTACATTTTTTTTCTCTCATGAAAACACGATAAATATCACAATTTTTCGTTGTTGGTATGTTGTTTGATAGCAGCATACGAGCGTCAAGCAATATTTGAGTGCAGTGAATACGCAAATTTGTGTTCGATTATTGCTTATCTCTCGTTATGAAGTCAAACATTCTATTCGCTGTTTGGCTTTTTCGTTTCTCACTCCCTCACTCACTGCTTTTTCTGCTTTTTCGACGGATTTTCCATTCAAAGTAATTGAAATGGTAGAACGAATACTACATATACTCCATATTGCCTATCATACACAGATATACGCTTATAATAACTCACAAATTTCACGCATTTGACTACGATTTCAAATGACACATTAAATATTAGACGACATCTTTGACAAGTCGATCTGATGTGATGCGTGTACCAAAGCAACAAGCTTTTTAAGAGGAAGTCAATTCACGAAATGCAATCAAATGGAAGGACATACTCTCTCTCTCCAGCTCTTCCCATCGCATAATTTGTCCAAAACTCTCATTTCCATTCGAATTGAACGAGCAACGCAAGATAACATGATTTTGAACAACATTGTTTTGACAACTCAAGCATTAAATTTGAATTACAATTTCGATCAATTTGCAGTGATATATATAAAACTTATTCCTTTTTTGCATTCTAATGCAGTTTCACTCAATAAACAGTATTTAATTGGCATTTAAAATTGATTACCCAGAAACCAAATGGAAGCTTTTTTTTGGGAATTTCAATAAAAAAATAAAGAGTCTTACGGGAGTAAGACGAACTTTTCCGCACGGTGGTAGTTGCGTATTTTATTAAGAAAGTTCAAAATA